AAGCCTTGGAAACTTGATTACTGGTTTACAGCTCGAAAATTACACGCTATGTGTGGGCACTGAGTGGTCGAGATGATTTATATATTACTAAACAGCAGGTACTTGTGGTGTGAACGGTTTCGTTTTGTGACTCTTTATACTTTTATGTTCGCCATTCAAGCATTCACGCAATAATAGATTTAAAGCAGTGGTTCCCAAACTTTTTGTGTCGTAGACCCCCTTGCCATATTTTTTGGTTTTGAATAGACCCCCCTATTCTTATCTGATTTTTTGGAAATTTCTAACTGTAGTAAAGTTTAGTGTTAAAAACAAAGTAAAAACAACAAGATGACTGTCGTAGACTTCCTGCAGTTTGTTTAACACAACTTACTATAGAGGGCACTACAATAACTCACAACTATTTAGACTGCGTATATTCGTCACCGCCGTGACCAAAAAAAAACACTTTTTTTCGGACTACTCTAATGCTGTTGGCCGCAGCTGGCCTTTACAGCTTCACCGGTCGATAGGGGGCGAGCGCAGATGGCATTCCAAACCAAAGCAAGGACTTATGGAGCGGCTGAAGGACAACTCCCGCCTGACGGATACGACTTTAGTCTGAGAGCACCGCTAGGGGTTCGAACCTCGGCTCAGGCCGTCGTAACATCGGTCTCCGTTTGAATTGGACGGAGGATCGATCGAAGGGGGATTAATAATAAAAAAAAAATAAACTAATACAATTCCAGTACATGAGCTGGGACAAAAGTCAAACATTATCGCGTTTCAATTTTTCTAGTAGCGCCATCTAGTAACGGATATGAGAAACAAACCTAGTAATTTAATTCATCCCGCCAAGGACGTGTCCTTACAAATAATAATTTGACAAAACATAACATATTACGTATAACAAATAGACCAAAAGTAGTCTTAATAATAATAATAATATCTCAGGACAATTCACACAGCGCCATCTAGTCTCAAACTAAGCAGAGCTTGTGTTATGGGTACTAGACAACTGATATAAATACATGAATACATTTTTTTTGTAAATAAATACATATTATAAATAGAAAACACCCAGAGCGATACAAACAATCATACTCATAAATACAAATGTTTGTACCGTGCGAGGAATCGAACCTACGACCATCAGATAGTAAAGGTCATAGACCCCTGGGGGTCGATAGAGACCTCTTTGGGAATCACTGGTTTACAGAACATACTTACGATTTCCATAAATTATATGTTATGGCTCGGATGATAATCAAGTGTAATTAATATAAACAGTTTTATGGCTTTACTTGAATGTGACTTATTGTATTGAACGTTATATGAAATAAGTATATGTTTTCTTATTTTATGTTCCTATAATTGAAAACAACATGACGCAAAAGGAACCTTAGTAATTTTGAAATCAAATCTAAATATCTTTATTCATCTATTACAGACTGTTATGATATGTCAAATCTACCGTCAGTTAGGAGTGATTTCGAGGTAAGAATAGAATAGAATAGAAAATCAAATAAACTTAATTTAAGCACTTTTGAATAGTCATAACAATTTTTTTATCTATCGCTCATTCGGAAAGCTGTCTCATTATAAGAAGAACGAGCAAGAAACTTGTGTGTTGCTCTTTTAAATAATCCTTGTAAGTTCACATTTACAAGTCGAAACAAACTACCAACTAGCACTAATTTATTAGGGTCAAATATACAATACGATAAAATCAGTCGTAGTGATAAGAGCAGACCAGTCCCTACAAGCAGCACTCGTTCACGAGAATGACGGATGAGCCAGCCATCACTGCGCTCGACCATATTTTAGGGAGCCCAATGACTCGATGAGCCCAAAGAACAACTGACAAGAAATTAAGCTCCTATTGTTTTCAAATGTCCTTGTATGTATATGAAATAGAAATAGAAATAAACCTTATTCAAATAAACTCATTACAAGCACTTTTGAATAGTCATATTTTGATTCTACCACTCATTCGGAATGCAGATTCATCACAAGAAGAATGAGCAAGAAACTTGTGTTTTGAATAGATGTTTTTTTATATAAATAATTACAGTATAACAAGTAAGAGGCATGCGATAATCAACATAGAAATCTCTCACTCATTATTAGTGTAATCAGATAATATTGTCAGTGCTATGGATTTTAAGTTTTGCTACAAAAACATTATTATCGTTAATGAATTCTTCAATTTTATAGTAAGCTTTTTTTGTAAAGAAAGTGTTTTATATCCGTTGTATATTATATTCGTTGCGTAGTTTTAAAGATTGAAGCATATAAAATCGCTGTCACTGTCCGTCCCTATATATGCTTAAATCTTTAGAAACACGCAACAGATTCTGAAGCGGTTTTTTTAATAGGTAGTGATTCTAGAGGAAGGTTTATATGTTTAATACATGTACACCCAGGCGAAGCCGGGCAAGTAGCTAGTATATTACATATATATTTACAAAACAAATTACAAAGTATTTTTTATAAGTACCTATAAAAATCTGCAGAGCAGAGCGAAAGCAGAGCTTAGGTTGGGACTAGACTTTTTTATTTTTGTTCTTATTCAATTTCTGTCTGTCTGTGTGAACTATCCAGGGTTATTATTATTATTATATACTAGCTACTCACTCCGGCTTCGCCTGGGTTTACATGTATTATACATATAAACCTTCCTCTTGAATCACTCTATCTATTAAAAAAATCCGTTGCGTAGTTTTATACAGCATACATAGGGACGGACAGACAGTGACTGCGACTTTGTTTTATACTATGTAATGATACATAAAAAATCATTATTATACCTACAAGCGGCACGCCTACGATATGTTTAGTAGTTATATACTAATATACAAGCCAATACAAGATTTCACACTGTAATCATTTCCACAAATGTTTGAGATTAAATCATTGAGAGTTAACAGCATGTCAGTAAACATACGTCATGTTTGACGGCCTCAGTAGTCTAGCCGTTTACCACACAGCCTTACTTCCGATGGTCGCGGGTTCGATTCCCCCTCCAATTCAAACGGGGATCGAAATTACGACGGCTTGAGCCGAGGTTCGAAACCCTAGCGGTGCTCTCAGACTAAAGTCGTATCCGTCAGGCGGGAGTTGGCCTTCAGCCGCTCCATAAGTCCTTCCTTTGGTTGGGAGTGCCATCTGCACTCGGTCCCTATCGTCCGGTGAAGCTGTAAAGGCCAGCTGCGGCCAACAGCATTAGAGTAGTCCGAAAAAGGGTTCAATTCCTTGCACGGCACAAACATTTGTATTCATGAGTAAGATTGTTTGTATCGGTCTGGGTGTTTTCTATGTATAATATGTATGTATTTACGAAAAATAGTATGTATATGTATCAGTTATCTAGTACCCATAATACAAGCTTTAGATAGCTTAACTTGGGTCTAAATGACGTTGTATGAAATAAAAAAAATCCTGAAATAAAAAAGTTACAATCTATCGAGCAGTAGATACAAAAAAATTGTTATGACAATTCAAAAGTGCTTAAATTAAGTAAATTAGAAAAAAAAATATCGCAGAAAAAGTGATCGGGATTTGACCGTTTACCATTTGGGCAGATCGACATTCACTCGGATGGCGTGAAAACAAAGAATTGTGCAGAAAAAGTGAGCAGTATTTGACCGTTTACCATTTGGGCAGATCGACAGTCACTCGGATGGCGTGAAAACAAAGAATTGTGCAGAAAAAGTGAACAGTATTTGACCGTTTACCATTTGGGCAGATCGACAGTCACTCGGATGGCGTGAAAACAAAGAATTGTGCAGAAAAAGTGAGCGGTATTTGACCGTTTACCATTTGGGCAGATCGACAGTCACTCGGATGGCGTGAAAACAAAGAATTGTGCAGAAAAAGTGAGCGGCATTTGACCGTTTACCATTTGGGCAGATCGACAGTCACTCGGATGGCGTGTACAGTGTTACGAATATAATTTATGGTGACCATAAAGCCGGTGGAACGGCCCGTCATAGCACGACCGTGACAAATCCACACGGAGTATGGTATGGTGCATATTAATTGATTCTTTTAAGTGGAACAGACCACATTAAATGTTCTACTGTGATGTCATGCTGGCCATTAGCAATCCACATCCACCAATCACACCTTGGTGTGAGTCAAACCAGATAGAATGGTCAGAAAAAGGTATTGTTTTTTTAATTTGGCGCAATTTGACAGTTATTTTTGGCTAAAATAAAAGTAATAATAATAATAATAATAATAATCTTGGGCAGACACATTCACACATGCGTGTACATCTTACGAATATAATTTAGCTAAAGCCGGTGGAACGGGTCCTAGACAACTGATACAAATACCACAGATATATTTTTTTTTTTTTAAGTAAATACATACATATTATACATGAAAATCATGCTGGCCAGACCGATACAAACAATCATACTCATGAATACAAATGTTTGTTTTTAATTAATTACCATCGGTCGTAAAGGAATTTTGACCGCTAGACCTCTAAAATAAAAGTAGCCTAAATTACTCGTTATTACATCAGCTATCTTCCAATAAAAGTCCCGTTATAATCGGTCTAGCTATATCGGAGATTAGCCAGAACAAACAGACAGACAGACAAAAATTGAAAAAAATGTTATTTTGGTGTATGTATCGTATTTATATTCATATGCATGTAGTAATGAAACGGTTACTTCAATATTACAAACAGACACTCCAATTTTATTTATATGTATAGACTAGTTACTCTTTATTACATCTACCTGTCAAAAAAAGTCCCGTCAAAATCGGTCCACGGTTATATCAATATTACAAACAGACACTTCAATTTTATTTCTATTTATAGATTAATATTATAAACGTGAAAGTTCGTGAGTATGGACGGATGTTTGTTACTCTTTCACGCAAAAACTACTGAACGGATTTTGATGAAACTTTACAGCAATATAGCTTATACATCATAATAACATATAGGCTATAAATTTCACGCGAGTGAATCCGCGGGCACAGGTTATATTGGTAGATATAAATACCTGTCATGCAGCACCTCGGCGCGGACCCAGGGGACGGCGCCCCACTCCTCGTCCTGCTCCTCCGACTTCATCTTCAGCAGACCCGACAGCCACGTGTACGACTTGCTCCGTTTCATTATCACATCACAATCACATCATCACGGTTAGGGCCTCACTTCCACACTTTTAGCACTTTAACATCACTTTGGCGTTACACTTTATTGGGCACTTTGTTAATTTTTTTATCACTGATTGCACTTTCTATAGGTCATTAAATATAATTGAAGTTATATATGTTTCTCCAAAACGCCAAACCGTATCTGAGAAGTCGCATTTCGTTTTTTTTAAACTTAGAAATATAAATAGAAATAATCTTTATTCAAATAAGCTCATTACAAGCACTTTTGAATAGTCAAGTTTTTTTATTCTACCATTCATTCGGAACGCAGACTCATCACAAGAAGAATGAGCAGGAAATTCAGTGTTGCTCTTTTAAATAAATATTGATTTAATTATATTTACATTAACAAGGATTAGGCGTGCGACAATCAACATAGAAACCGATACGCACATAATCTCTGTTCAATCAGATAATCATGTAAGTTGCTAAATTTAGTCGGATATTGTAAGTGATATGGGTTGATTTTTTTTAACAATAGTGACGGTAGTTGAACATTCTGCTCGACGTTGATACTCCAGTCAGTACGTGACCACGGCTAGGATAACCTAGTCAAAACGTCGGGAGAGTAGTATAAGTAGTAGTATAAATGTTGCTATAGTAAGTAATGTAATTAACATTACTTATAGCAACATTTATATTACGATCCCACTAACTAAATTAATAATAGTCTTATTATTATATGAATCATTACATAGTATAAAACAAAGTCGCTGTCGCTGTCTGTCCGTCTCTAGTCCCTATGTATGCTTAAATCTATAAAGCCACGCAACGGATTTTGAAGCGGTTCTTTTAATAGATAGAGTGATTCAAGAGGAAGGTTTATATGTATAATACATGTACACCCGGGCGAAGCCGGGGCGAGTAGCTAGTACCTACATAAGATTGTATTATAGATGAGATAATTTCCAAAAAACAGCAATATTCATAATATTAATACTAGATTTAAAGACAAACTTGCTGTCCCCAAGTATCGTTTAGAAAAAGTTAATAGGTCTTTTATGGGAATAGATATAAAAATTTACAATAAGATACCAAAGGATATGTTGGAATTACCCTTAAATAAATTCAAAACATCTGTTAAATCATATTTACTGAGCAAAGCCTATTACTCACTAAACGATTACTTGAATGACGAGTGTGCATGGCAATAGTTGTTCATGCACTGAATTTTCATTTAATGTTAGACATAGACACCTATATAAATATACATTGTAAATAAACTGGCTTTAAAAAAAAAGTAATTCAATTGAGTTTCTTGCCAGTTCTTCTCAATTGGATCTATATACCGAACTGGACGGTAGGGAAAAAATAAAATTATAATGTAAACATTTGACGTTCATAAGCGGCTAAAATGTCCTACATGAATAAATGATTTTTGAATTTGAATTTGATAGTTAAATGAAGTTTCGCTTCGTAATACATAATTACGATTTCTTATGAAATCGAGTTTTATGATAAAGTTGCAATATGTAAATTTATATATTTCTTTTTTATAACCTTAATTATACAATGTAAGAAGGTATATATGTATAGTCTTATCTACTTAACTACGTATGAATCTGTAAAAAGATTATATTCTTGTATTCCATGTAATTTATTTATAAACTAGCTACTCGCCCTGGCTTCGCACGGGTGTACATGTATTATATATATAAACCTTCCTCTTGAATCACTCTATCTCATTCAATCATTAAAAGAAACCGCTTCAAAATCCGCTGCGTAGTTTTAAAGATTTAAGCATACATAGAGACTAGAGACGGACAGACAGCGACAGCGACTTTGTTTTATACTATATAATAAAATAATAATAATGTAGGAACAGTTATTTCAAAATTACTGTAAAAATATAACTGAATATTAATAAACCGGTAAATTTGTCATAACCACTAAGTAATTTTTTTACCGTCAACCACAACGACCTTTCAAATACTTGTGCACCTACTTGCTGTACGAGTACATACATGTTTGTTAACAGACAGTCAAAATATCAATTATTGTGCCTCATTAAAATTTTCCAATACAGTAGGTACCCAGTTAAAACCATTCGAGTAGCAGAGATGACCAACACGAGGCCCGCGGACCGCTTGCGACCCGTTAAACTCATTTTTGCGGCCCGCTGAGCATATCTATAATTGAATTTATTGTTTCGACTTTTTTGTTATCAATATGTTGTTATAAAATTAATTATAATAAAATGCTAGTATACTAAACCTTTTTTTTTTAAAAAAACAACGTTATTTTGTGAAGAATTATTCATTTGTCGGGAACTTGTTCAAACATGCAATATGTTTGCATTAATTTGTACAGGAAATATTTACCTTTTTAAATTTTATATCTTTTTATTGTAATGTAAGAAACATTGGAATAAACAGAATGAAAATATAAAAAAGTAAAGTAAGTTTTTAAATCAACTAAGATTTATACATTACTAGCTTCACCCCTTCACACTTTCACTTCATTCTTAGCCCACCCCGGCTTCGGTATCGTGTACATGTATTGTAAAACTTCCTCTTGAACCACTCTATCTATTAAACAAAACAGCGTCAAAATCCGTTGCGTAGTTTTAAAGATTTAGGCATACATAGTGCTGTCCCTACTGTCTGTCTGTCTATACAGCGACAGCGACTTTGTTTTACACTCTGTAATGATAGTGATAATAATTTATCAATAGGTATTACTTTATGTGCGACCCGCCAAAATTTAAATTTAAATTGGCCCGTAGATTATAAAAGTTGCTCACCCCTGGACTATAGCATTGTAATCGATGATTATATCTCGTAACGCCATCGAGTTAGACTCACAATTGTGTCCGTACGTCTATTCGATTTGTAATCTCATCGAATAAAATTGACGTTAACTATTAAACGGCAGAAAAAACGGACAAGTGGGAGCTGGTCACGCGCGGTTTGTGTTCACACAAAAAGTTGAGTCCGCAAAAGTCTATTTATTATATCAATAGTATTTCCTATAATTAATTACGTAAGTGCATGTTTTGTGACCTCAGTAGCGCAGTGGTAGACTGGTTGATTTGTATAAATGAGGTCCAAGGTTGGATTCTTTATACTAGTACAGATTTAGTAAATAAATATAAACACGAAAGTTTGTGTGTATGGATGAATGTTTGTTACTCTCACGCAAAAACTACTCAACGGATTTTGATGAAACTTTACAGTAATATAGCTTATATATCAGAATAACATATAGGCTATAAATTTCACGCGGGAATAGCTAGTATGTTAATACGTGAAGCAAAACGTTTGTACACCTTTTACGAGGAGTATGTAATTTCGAGTAAGAGACACTTATAGTTTATATAGAGTAGGACTGTAAAATGCTAATATTTTTTGTTAAATATATATTAATAAATACATTAAACCAATAAATAAAATATTACAAACACTAACGTTATATTACACGACTGATAACGAAACGACAATGTGAAATAATGTCAAGTTTGTTTATTGTCAAATCAAAGTAACCTATATATTTTTTTTTTTGTTCGGTTTTTCCCTCTTTAGAGAAAGGCAAAAGGACTTCGGTTTTGTCTTCAGTAATATTTTCTTATATTTTTTTCTTTAGAGAAAGGCAAAAGGACTCAGCCCATACAGCCATGTCTTCAGTAATATTTTCCCATATTTTTTTTTTATAATAATTCTTCACAAGTTACAAATCTTGAAAAGTTGATACAACGTACTCAAAAATGGGTTTGTAAGTTTCTTGGTTCTTCAATAGATTCTGGATGGAGCGCGGGATCTCCATTTTATCATATATATTGATCAATTTATCAATAAATATTAATCGCTGGATTGCGAAATGTTGACAGTAAAAAAACAAGTGATCTAATGATTGATCTTCGTCGGCAGAACACAAGTCACATATAGGAGACGAAAGCATTTTCATCCTATGCAAATGCTTTTTATATCTTCCATGTCCAAATATGTGAAGCAAATCTTTGACAATATAACCTCAATAATATTCAAACTTATCTATATATATAAAAATGAATTGCTGTTCGTTAGTCTCGCTAAACTTGAGAACGGATGAACCGATTTGGCTAATTATAGTCTTAAAATATTCGTGGAAGTCCAGGGAAGGTTTAAACGATGATAATATGAAGAAATTGTATGTAAACTGGTACGAACAATAATTTTATTTTCCCATACAAACTGCTGATATTGCGTAACTTTTTTTTTTTGTTTTCAGGAATGGCAAAGGTCTAAACCGTTCAGAAATTTATTGCGTAACTAAACTTCAAAAAACCTTTGACATATTTAGTTTTAAGGCGGAAAGCAGTTCGCGGCGTGAGCTATTTTAAATTAATTCTGGTCGAATTTTGATTCCTTTTAACGAAATAGTATCCTCCCAAATTATAATTTAAAAATGAATCAGGATTTTTGTAAACATTTACAAGCTTATTTGAAAAGAATACGAGCTGAGTTTCTTGTCAGTTCTTCTCATCTCGAAATCATTCCGAACTGACGGTAGATTTGACATATCATAAGAGTCTGTAATAGACCTACATGAATAGAGATGTTTTTGATTTTAAAGAAGAGTTAGTTTAAATTAAAACACAAAGTATTAGGATATGAATAATATTAAATACGTTTTATTTTTATTCAGTTCCTCACCGCCATGGTCGATGGCGGTTGAAACGCTGGCAAAATATCGAGAACTCAATAATAATAAAACATGGTAAGGTCCCGTGATTTACTAATTGTACTTATAAATAATGACCGCGCCAAACTTAAAACAAAAAATAATATTAAACATCTCTATTGAACCCTAAAACATAGACTACAACCTCTACTGACCCTTTAGTTTTTAACAATAGTCCCACTGATCATTTGTGATAACCCGTCCAAATTGAGTATTCTCTCGGTTTCTTAGTGTAACTATCCAGAGAAAGACTTCGCATATCGGTCGGTTGGCGTCTTGGAGAAAACCGTAGTATCTAATGACCCGAAGTGTACCTGCAACAAAAAATATATTGTTGTTAGGTGTCAAGACATCATGTGGAGTGTCGACAGCTCTCCGTAATTATGTTGACATTGTCAATGAGACCAGAGGATTGAGTGTTTAGTTTTAGTTTGGACATAGCATAATGTTTATGATTTGTAATAGCTTACACGGATCAACAAACAAGATGAAATGTTATTATTGGAGCATCAAGTACATATATATACGGATACGAAAGGCGGAAGTAAGTAAAACTCGTGGTGGAGGCTGTTATATATAAAGAAAGAGTTTCAGCCAACGTAGTACAGTAATAATGCTAACAAAACAGAGTGGTTGTTAATACCCATTGTGCCTTTATTATACTTTATAAATTACATAATTAGTCAAATGGGTAAACTGTCAGTTTATATATATCACAATTAGGTCGAAATATCGAACTCAGCAAATAAATATAAAACGTGGTATGATCCCATGATTTTTACTAATTATACGTATAAATAATGACCATGTCAAATTTAAATTCAGTTTATTAATATTTACTTCTTATTCAATATATTCATATTTATAAATTCAGCTTTCATAGAATAACTGTATGGTATAAAATATGGTAGGTCACGGTGATGGCAAAAACGAAGGCTTTTAAAACAATTGGATTTATTTTCGACATATAAATTTTATAATGTTAATTAGAGATAAGACGTGTAGTGTCGATCGCATCTAGGTACAGACTGCGTGGTGTCCGTTGCGCCGGTTAGTAAATTAATAGGGACAGTCACGAAATATTCGTTTTTTGTAAAACATTGGTCTATAATTATATTTAATAATATCAGACACATATCTTATAATGAATTTAGACTATAATTTTAATATTTGAACAACTAGAAAATATAAACAAGTATAATAAAAATGATGATGGGAAATTATTAGTATTTTGTCACATTTCCTTTTGCTTCTATCAGTGCTTGAATCCGCCTCGGCATACTTTCAATACACTGTTTAGCACTTTCTTTTATTTTGGGATTGTGAAACCATACATTTATTAATTTTTCAATTAGTTTTACTTTGGTAGTTATGATTTCCTTAGCAATTTCCGCCTTGGTAATTTCCCACAAGTTTTCTATGGGATTCATATCAGGAGAATTGTCAGGCCAAGGTAAAACTGGAATGTTGTGGTCTTCCAAAAATTTGGTTACACTCCTCGCTTTATGACATGGAGCTGAATCGTGCATAAACACGAATTCCTCCCCATTCGGGAACCATTCCTGAAGTTGCGGCAACAGGCGAGTTTCTAATACTTGCTTGTATTGGTCCTGTCTCATGGTTCCCTGGACGATATAGAGGCGCCCAACTCCTTTTGCGCTGATGACAGACCATACCATTATTTTTACAGGGTGTTTAATTCGTTCTACTATGCAATCAGGATGAAATTTCTCGCCTGGGCGCCGCCTCACGAAGTTACTTTTGTTGGCCAGAATTTCAAAAGTTGACTCGTCTGAGAAACATACCTAAAAAAATATAGAAACTATTTATAATTTTTGTAAATATGATTTTATATAACACAAATAAAATTAACCATAGAACTGACCTTATTCCAGTCTTCAACAGTTTTCAGGCGGTGCTCACGAGCCCAAGCAAGCCTTTTCTTTTTCATCGCCTCTGTTAATCGGGGTTTCTTAACTGGACGATGACCTGTCAGGCCTTCCTCTGCCAACCTTCGCTGTACAGTTCTTTTTGAAACACGTATTCCAGATTCCTGTACTATCTGAGTTAAAAATCCAGCACTTGTCTTTCTGTTTTGCAAGCCGATATCTCGAATTTTCCTATCGGAACGTGTTGTTGTGATACGTTTTCTGCCACATACTGATTTTGATCTAAATTTATTTTTATTTTATTGACGGCTGATTTCGATATCCCGGCCAGTTGTGCTATCATCCTCTGAGAGTGATTTGTGTGTAGGAGAAGGGTTTTAACCTCGGATTTTTTTTTTTCGAAGTCAAATGTAAAATCCGCTCCAAAATACTTAATATTATAGTAAAATATTACTTATATACCAGGTATTGATTATTTCACAAAACCACTAAAGAACTGTTTAAAGAATAATTTACGTGTTTCACTTTTACACGTGTGAACGACTGTGTGTCTCTCCCGTCATTAAAATATATTTCCAAAATAAACAAATCTCTCAGCACTTGAAATTCACTTTGAATTTGAGTTATAGAGACAAGGTGAACATAAAAACATATCAGCAAAAAACTTTTACCACTTAAAAACGTAGTCAAGACCACTTGAAGAACAAAAATTATAAAAAATGTGACTGTCCCTATTAATTTGGCACCCACTGTAAGTTTTTTTTTTCAAAACTACTACGACACCGCACGCAGACACTATAACATAGACAAACATCATTTTAATTATTTTGTTTTTTAAGGCACAGAACGCGTCGCTTACAATAACGTTAGTATATTTATAAAATAATATAGTTTAGGGGTGTCCGGCGGGGGGTTGTAACCATACTAAGTGTTTGGCAATGAGCAGCGCAAGTTATAATACTGTTACGAGCAATATGCTAAAAAATCGTGTTTCAATTTAGCGAACTTGATATGAAAATTCTTACACCTTTGTTACCTGCCAAAGAAACCACGATCAATGTTTCATGTTTGGGGATCGTTCTTACCTGTGTTGGGGACACACATACAAGAACTTTCACATTTACCAATAAGACGTATGCCTGGCAGTCGTGGGATCTTACTGTATCATCTGGAAATTATTCCGAACTGACGGTAGATTTGACATATCATAAGAGTCTGTAATAGACCTACATGAATAAAGATATTTTGAATTATGATCCACCGGAGTCACCCGGGTCACCGGGGCTCTATACAATGTATGAGCGAAATGTTTCTGTCACTAGGGTGAATACGTCAAAAGTATTAAAAAGTAAAAATCTAAGATGGCGGCCGAGTTAGGGTACTTAATTTATGTTAACAATTTTAGAGACTTTTTAAAATTCAATTTTGGGGTACCATTAATCCTTGCAGCGAGTTGACTTTTATGGAGCAGTGGGAACTCTCGATGGGAAATATAACCTGGTCTAAAAAAATTCCCCGATTTTGGGGTAGTTACGTAGAAAAATTAAAAAATGTGGGAAATTTTTTTTTCGTTAAGTTGAACAAAACAGTTATGAGCGTTGGTCCAAAATCATCACCATCACCCTGTTGGGTACAGTAAGCGCAAGAGACACAATATGCACTCATTATAGTGAAATTTATGCGTTTAACTACAGTACTATATAAAATTCTGGTGTGAATTCGTTACACTGTTTGATCGAGAGCTGTAGAACGGTTTTGAAGTGTATTTGTTGGGTATTCGAGTATCTGTGGAAGCACAAGTCACGGTAATGTGGCAGTAACTTGAGATGGCTAGCGGCGGCCCCACACCTCGCCTCCGCTGACTTGCAGTTCCCGTCAACTCATTAAAAACTTCGGCGGCGAGGGTAGTTTTTTGTCAAGTAATTCCATCTCAAAAGCGTCGTGGCGAAGTCGTTTGCAACCCCGATTTGTAACGAAAGGTTGTCAGTTCAAATCTGGACGACATTAAAATTCTGACTGAATCAAGGTTCACAGCTTGAGGGGTGGTACAGTATCGACAATGTGTGACATTCTGTGACATGCGATGAATATAATGCTAAATTTAATGATGTCACAATTCAATATATAAAATACTAAGCTATCCTGCGCAACTTTGCATCATAACCCGGTCACAATTCGAAATATAACATTTTTGTAACATTTCTTTTGCTGCTCCGCTCCTGTTGGTTATAGTGTGATGTTATATTGCCTTCATCCATAAATTTCTTATGTAACACTAAAAGATTTTTTCAGAACAGAAACAGTAAATCCAAAGATTTTCTCTACAACCTTACAAATTTACCTCCTTATAATATTAATATAGTTGAATCTAAGTATAAAAATTCAGGACCGATTGTCGTGAAGATTATTGGGAAAGCCCTTTGTTCAGCAGTGGACGTCTTCTGGGCTGAGATGATGATGATGAAAGCTCAAAAATTAAACTATTAACGAAAAATATTACCAATTCGTCTGCTGGTATCCTACTATACTCTAAAATATTTGACATCACACTAGAAAATGGAAGTGGGAATGCTACCAGAATAGAATAGAATAGAATAGAAAATCATTTATTCAAATAAACTCACATTGAAGCACTTTTGAATAGTCATTACATTTTTTAATCGTTCGGAAATCTGTCTCATCACAAGAAGAACGAGCAAGAAACTTGCGTGTTGCTCTTTTAAATAATTTTATTATTACTTTACATTTTTAAGTTTAAGTGTGTGAATACAAACCACCAATTAGCACTAATTCAATTAAATACTCAAATAGAAAAAATATTGAATATATAACCAACTGGTTAAACTATTAATAAGAGGAAATCAGTCATAGTGATTAGAGCAGACCAGTCCCTACAAGCAGCACCCGTTCACGAGTATGACGGATGAGCCAGCCATCACTGCGCTCGACCATATTTTAGGGAGCCCAATGACCCGGCCCACCACGCCGCCACAAGTCTGGACATTTTAGTGAGCATGATTACTCAAAACACTAGACTACGTCAAAGCTACTTGCTACCAGAGGATGGAGGGATCAAAAATTCGTGTATAGCCACTGTTCATTAAACGAGAAATCATCAGTAAATTTAATGATCAGGGCTTGAAAACTACAGTATTTTTTTTATTGACAGTTTTGAGCTATTGTCAGGTGCTCACACCTGTGGCACTTCGACCTACAGATTATCGCCCTTTTTCAAAGTTCGCTACCTAGACCCGTAAGGGACAAGAATTGAAGGATATTCTTAGGAGCGATGGTTTTTATCCCCACAAGATAGAGTGTATACTTTCCAAAGGAGATAGAATAGAACGTAGCTTTATTTGGAGCAAGCGTACTTCATCGAGTGGTACCTCGCACTGTTACGTTGTTAAATGCCAATCAAGCTCATC